CGGTGTGCTCCCGATCTGTCTGTCTCTGACGTACCCCACTGGCTTATTTTGTGTTTGTGTGTAAGAGTATACACCTCCCTCATTACCGCACTGTTTCTGAGACTTTCTCCCCGTTACTGCCTGTAACGATGTGTGTTTGTCCGCGGGTCATCCTGCGCCTCTCACCTTCAGATTTACGATGTGATGAACGTAGTTCGAAGTATCGGCGTCGCCATTAGCAGCAGCTTCTTCTGGCTGTGAAGGAGAGGAGTAGTGAGTACACCATGAAGGAAATAAATCAGCTAAAATTTAGCTGGTGGGAGTACAGTGCAGGATGCGTCTACACTACTGCTTGTGGTCTGTTTTACTGGGAGTCACACACAGGCACGGGACCACACAAAGAAACTTCACATGCATGTGTGCCGAGCACGAGACAGACTAAAAGCCAAATTACACACCCAGATGTAAAAGTAATGGTTCTGTTTACATGTTTAAAATCTCATTACGAAGCACCAACGTGGCTGAGTAGTAGCTGTAGGAGTCGTGTCTGTTCCAGGGCTTCTGCATGTGTGCATCGTGTGTTTTCTATGCGTGCCCATAAGCAGAGTTGTACCTCAGCGTGGGGCTCCACAGCGTCTCCCTCGTGCTCCCTCACTGGTCCCACCGCCATCTGGTCGAGCGCTTCGGTGTTCCTGTTTCACACAGTCATAACTCACGTAAATCGTTGCTTCTCAGCTTTGTGACAGCAGAGCTGTGATTTACGCCAGCTGATCACAGCGTATCTTTCAGGAAAAGGATGTGAGTCAAGTGGGAGGCTAAGTACTGTGATCCGGAACAGGGCCAAAAGTAGGTCAAAGGTCAAATACGTCAAACTCTGTAGGGATATGTGAGCTAATGTATCCGTATTACATGCTAACTACATCTGTTTGACTCCCAAAGCTGAGCGACTCAACAACTCCTGCACCAACACCTTTTACATTTGACTACTTTCAACTTCCGCGGTGCTTTTTCAAATTTGTAATTCTACCCTTTGGTGTCATACGATGAATTTGAGACATAACACCCATACAAACGTAAAATTTAACATCGCAATCGCAGGGGGATGATAAAGTAATCATAATACATGTAAAAATCAAAATAATTTTTATGTTAATAAGCGCTGCATTTGCAACGTTTTGTGCCGTTTCATTGGCCCACCCGTTAAGGAGGAGATGGGGTAAATGGAGACATACAGAATCTTTTTTTAATGTTTCCCAAAATGTGAAAACTTGTAGATTAACATGCAAAAAGCAGATTTTATTTAGTAAATATTCACACAGCCTAACAACATCAGTTCAACTATCTCAACTCTGTAGCTGCTCTCTTATTCACAAGCAGGGGTCAGTACAGCACGTAGATCTACGTACTTGATTTTGTTACAGTAGACGCCTTTCTAGGCCCCAAAGGTGTCTGTATCGCATCCTGGCAGCTTTTGCTTGCTAGGTGCAGACATCAACCCCTGCACTATGGAGGGAAACACTCTCTGATAAGAACTGCACTACATTTGCATTTAGCCATAATTCTAGCTTCGTACTCCAGCTATATTTACAGTCGCTGTGTAATTTAATTTGCTTATTTTACATTTGTAACTAACTATTTAAAACACATTTCCTCGCAAATACATGTTTCCATCGTGTCTGCATGTAGATATCTAAATTAACAATATAAACTACTATTTTAATTCACATTTGTTTGATAACTTTCATTGCTTTTTTTGGTTTTTATTAATAATTCTAGCTAAGTATA